TTCTCCTCTTCCTTTGCCCTAATGATCCATTTCATCTTTTCTGTTCAGTATTAGCCATCGTTTGCTGTGCTGTCCAAATATAGGCTTTGGCTTATACTTGCATGAATTGGAGGCTCCTCTGAATTCAGTCGTTGTGCATTGTTTCAGGTGGTGCTTTAAGTTGCATGTGCTTAAAGTTAGCATGTGAGCCTAAGGCTCCACATGAGTTATTCTCAATAACCCAAACTGGGTCTGGAAAACCGGTTATTGGACTACAGTGTTCCCAGTATCTCTAACCATTGACCATGTTGGTTGGGTCTGATGGGAGTCCCAACAACATCTGCAGAGCCAGAGGCTCCTCATTTCTGACCTAACCAATCATTTAAATGGTTTTCTGAACTGTACTTAACAGTAAAATAACAAGTGATGAATTGCTTGCCTGGATAAATAAGGAACATGGAGTCTGCTAAACACCTTGCTTTACCCCAAATCTGAAACATCCAACAAAGGAGCACATAATCCCAGATGAAACTGGCAGGGAATGTCTGGCACTCCTGCAGCAGAATATTTACAAAATATGTTTAAATTGCAACAGTTTCGGATTGGTTAATTTTATCTGCTTTTTGTAAAATTGAGTTCCCACAATGATCTTTTCCCAGACCAGTACTATTTAAGTTGTTTTAAATTATCTGCAGTTGGAGGTGAGCAGCGAGTGAGCAAAATTTTTGAATGACACCAGGCTTTTCAGGAGATCCAAAAGTGTGTCTCCAAACCTCTTAAATGGGCAACAAATGCAGCAGATAGCTACAGTGTAAATAAGTGTAAAAAATGGCACATGAGCTTCACATACTGTTTTTGAACTGGTTGCAAACAGTACCACCTGCAATATTTATAGCTACATATGTCTGCCTGCCTGCCTATCTATCTATCTATCTATCTATCTATCTATCTATCTATCTATCTATCTATCATCTAGCTATGCTATGCTTATGCTATTGCTTCTGTATTCAACTTCCATATTCAATGTCCAAGATCGGTCTTTTAACTATAATGTGTCAAGGGTTCTGCTTAATTTGCTGTTTTAAATGTGTTTTAAGATAATGGTCTCTATCAGAAAGGGTAAAACCAACTTAGGCTCTTGAAGGTGAATTTGTAGTCTGTCATTCATTCATTTTAACACTACTTAATTTCAAAAGCCATTGAAGGTTCCTCAACATAAATGTTGTTCTTAGGCCAACGTAATGCTGGAATATGACATTGATGAAGCCCAGGCATTGCTAGAAAAGAATCTCTTCACAGCCACAAGAAACCTTGAGTCTCTCGAGGAAGATCTGGATTTTCTTAGGGATCAGTTCACTACTACAGAAGTCAGTATCCTTTTAAAAAGAGAATTGAATTCCTGTTTCACAATGTTTCACAATGTTATGTCCTCTATTTCTTAGTATTTATCCACTTTCTTTGAACGAATCTGCTTGTGGAAACAATTCAGGTCAAGGAATAGTGAATCCAGTAGTGGATGCAGGTGTTTATTGCATTTCCCCAGTTTGTTCAGTCTAGATACCACTTGCTGTGAAAATATACAATATCCTCACTTATCACTGATATACATCAGTCGCTGTGAGCAGTGACTCCAGGACAGTTGATGAGGTTCAAGGTTCTTCCCTCCAGTACAAAACTTTTTTCATGCTGAGGGCCACATTGACCCCTCTGGTGTCCAAAGTGTAAAAGCTGGACTTTTTAAAAGGACAAAGTGGGGCAGTTAGGGTCATAAAAGACTTTTAGGATCACAGGAACCACCCATGGCAGTGGTCAATAAATAAGAAAATACTTTTTTTAAAAAAATGATCATCACTTTCTTCAAAAGAAGGTGATCTTGGAGGGTCACAAAAGAAAATCATTTAGCATCACAGTGAGGAACCGGTTAGAGCAAAATATACCGTATTTTTCTCTCTATAAGACGCACCTGACCATAAGACACACCTAGTTTTAGAGGAGGAGAACAAGGGGGGGGAAATCTTCTCTGCTCAGCGCCTCTCTAGCAAAGTGGGAGGAGAAATGGAAGGGGCTCCATTTCTCCTCCTGCTTCGCTGAAGGGGCACTGCGCAGAGAGGGAAAGCTGCGCAGTGCCTATCCAGCGAAGCGAAGCCAGGAGAGCAAGAGGGATCGGTGCGCACCGATCCCTCTTTCTCTCCTGGCTTCAGCGAAAGCTGCACAGCCTGCATTCGTTCCGTAAGACGCACACACATTTCCCCTTACTTTTTAGGAGGGGGAAAGTGCATCTTATAGAGCGAAAAATACACTAAACATTTGTGAGGAGACTTTGGAGGGCTCAAAAACATCGCAGTGGGAGACATATAGAGTAGTAGAAAAAAGATTTGCACTGTCTAAAAAATGTTTTGGAGGGAAAATATATCAAATTTTGGGGTGTGGCTTTGGGGGCTGAATTTTGACTCAAGGCTCCTTCTCCAGAGGAAGAGCAGAGAAGGAGCTAGAGGTGAGCAATACTCCTGAGTAATCAAGTTCATTTAGGCTCTTCTTTGGAAAAGAAAACCTCAAAAAAGAACAAACTTTCTTACGATTTTTATTCAAAGGTTTTCATAGATGATTTCTGGAAGTCTAAAATGCACTGGACTATTCAGTACATTTGTTAGCACCTTTTCCTGCCTTTGTTCTCCCTTAATCTTGTCGCACTGTTGTTAAAACCAAAGGTTTATCTAGCTTCGAACTGAGGACAGGATAGTTCTCATTCAAATTGTGATAAGCTGGTTGTCTACCATGCAGCAGAGAGAGTTTTAACCACACATCTGCATCCAGTCAGAAAAACCAGAGAAGCAGAGAGTAAGAATTTTTTTTAACCACTTCCAAAAACATAGGCAAGTGGTTATTTGCCAGCCTTTCAAAAATTACAAGTTGATAAGTCTTCTGGTTATCTGCAGGTAAAAACAGTCTAGTCATTGAGAGCCATCTTATTCTTTCCACAATCATGTGCTCAGGTGCTTAACCAAGTGAAGATGTGCTGTTAATGAGCTGGCTGCAGTCATTTCCCATGGTTTGAAAATGGAGTTGTGATCATGGAAAATGTTGCCTGTTGTCCAGCCAGGTGTCACAAGAGTGTGTGCAGGGCAAGTTATTGGCAATTTGAGAAAGCTAGTATTGTTGCAGGTATTCGGGAATAAAAACCTTTATGATCAAGCTCATGCTAAGGAAACTGTAGGGCTTTTTCCTGCTGGCCCTGCACAGTGTTATTTGTGATCTTTTTTCAGAGCATAGACTTACATATTTCAGATGAGCAGATTAGAAATTGGTTATGAGAACAGCACTGTCTAGTATTCAGGAATCAAACTGCTTGTGCTAATTATGGGAAGCAGATAAAATCCATCTGCTTTCACCTTACAGCACAATAATTTCCTTAACTGTGTTTTCAGATATGGCTAGAGTTTATAATTGGGACGTAAAGCGAAGAAACAAGGATGACCCTTCCAAAAGCAAAGCATAGTTATTAATAGGATTCATTAGTTCTGTTTATATTAAATGTGTTCTCAAATTTAATCTTAGTTAGCAGACATCTTTTTAAAAATTGGTTTGCAAGCCCAGTTTGGTTCTGTGCATGTTCTATTATTGCTGCTTTGGAACATGACCCATAAAGGATTTTGGTTCTTCCAACATAATCTGTCATAGGAAAATGCTGGCTACAAGACTTGACTGAAAATCTGAAGTGCATTATAGGAATTGTCTTTTGCAAAGGGTTGTTTGTATATATGAGTATTGAGGTATATCAAAATTTGATGTGGGGAAGGTATGGCAGCAATATGGGGAACAGTCCATTGTAATCCTGCCTCTAGCTGCTTTAGCTATCCTCTAAACACTTCACACACACGAGCTCATGTTTAGCTCTTGAGGAAACAAATAATTTAATGCACAATGCAATCTGTATGTGATCTTACTCAGTACTGTATTCACATAAATATCTCATCCCAAGTCTGTAAAACTGGAGGGATCCAGGAGCAAATGGCCTACTATACACAATCAGTGCATTTGCCATCTGTTCTAATTCAGATTATTGCAAAGATACTTGGTGGAACCTACATTTAAACATGGATGGTGTATTTGAGCCCAGCTTCAGTTGGTTAACAGGCTTAGTGTTATTCCCTTTTTACTTCATATGAAGCTTTGCTAAAGTCTTGCCTTGGCGTCTTCCTTTTTATTTGAAACCATGATGCACATTTTAAGGTCAAAAAAGTGCTGTACTTACACTGCCGAATAGGTGGCAGTGCAGGTTTTATTTTAAAATGAAAAGCAAATGTTAACTGTGTTTTCATTTCTTCTAATAAACAACACTTCTAAAGTTTTTGTACTTTTATTTCATTATATGTATTTTTATATTTTTGGGAAGCCACCCAACACTACTACTATACTTCTTCTTCTTCTTCTTCTTCTTCTTCTTCTTCTTCTTCTTCTTCTTCTTCTTCTTCTTCTTCTTCTTCACTGAAACTTGAAAGACTTATAGCAGAAACCTCTAGCGCCTGTTCCTTTCAGCAGATGGGCATCAAAACTTTTGAAATAATTATTAATGTAAATGTTGACGATGATGGTGGAATGGTAAATAGAGATTGCTTTAGTTCTTAAAATGATGGAGAGCTTTCAAGTTTACGCAGTGTTGGAGGTGGCAGCCCAAAGTGCTATACCAGGGGTCAGCAAACTTTTTCAGCAGGTGGCCGGTCCACTGTCCCTCAGACTTTGTGGGGTGCCGGACTATATTTTGAAGAAAAAAATGAACAAATTCCTATGCCCCACAAATAACCCAGAGATGCATTTTAAATAAAAGGACATATTCTACTCATGTAAAAACACGCTGATTCCCAGACCGTTTGCAGGCCAGATTGAGAAGGCGATTGGGCCAGATCCAGCCCCCGGGCCCTAGTTTGCCTACCCATGTGCTATATACCTTAAGATCCCAAAGCATATTTTTGAACCTGTAGAAAATAAATGCATGTTTAAAAGACAAATCTTAGATACTATGGTAAAATAAAAGGACATTATTTTATTTAGATTTAGAAGAAACAGAAGACAGCAATATTTCTGGTGAATAAGAATACAGAACTTAACATCCAAATAATGCAAAAAACATTGATTATGAAACAAAATGTTTCTTTCTCATTTTTCCTTTTGGATTACAGAATTTTTGTATATAGTTTCATCTCTTCAAGCTATAGATTTCCCCCTCCTCCAAGAAGTTAGTTTCTGCCTTACTAAGAGACAAGATGGTGCTCTTGTGAGAGTTTGAGTTGATGGTTGAATAAAATTATATGTGTTCAAGCTGTAGTGTTTATTATAGATGCTGAGTAAGGCTAATAGTGCTTCACCTAAAAGTTCCATATGGACATTGGATCTCCTAGATATGTAAGGCACGTCTAGCCTGAGCTGTTAGGGTGGATGTAGGTTGGCATCTTAAAACTTTAGGGATGAGCATGTTTCTCTTGTGTTTGTTGCTCACCTATCTTAACTTAGAGAATTGCTACAGTTCATGAGTTAGCACATTAGTCTTGCCTTGTTGCACTGCTCTTTAATCAGTGTGTCCATATCTGCTAGTGTACATGGCAACATAAATGAAAAAGGCATGAGCAAACACCAAAACTTCTTATGGAACTGTCTGAACACAGTGCAGAAATAATAACAAAGGATAGTGGAGCCTGAAATGGTTCTACTGCTGCACAAATGAGGTCAGCTAATCTTGCAGCCCTAAAATCCTAAAATCATGTTTTGCATGCCTCCCACACTTCTAAAAGATGGGTGAAATGGCTATCCAAGCATCTTTAATCGTCACGTTGCCACAGAGCCTTGGTGCCTCTTGGTTACAATGGGAACAATCAAAAGAATTACAAGGGCACTTCTATACATCCAAAGGGTGTTTGGACTTGCTTGAACAGTCACTGTCCTCTTGTTTTGTGGCACACTTTCATTGGAGGCTTTTAAACAGGCCAGGTGGCCGTCTGTCAGATTGTTTTAGCTTTGCACTGCAGATGATTGGGCTAGATGACCACTGAAACCCCTTCCAAATACAATTCTATGATTCTAGGAGAGTTTTAAACTTGGGGATGACTTAAAGTAATTCTATGGATCTCTGCCTGTGAATGTCTCCCTTTATTTCCCGAAAGCTGCAGCTTCTGGTTATGCCACAGTGGCCCAACACTGCTACTCAGTGTACTCAATAACTCTTGATTGTGTCTAGCCATGATGAGCTGTGGTGCCTTTGAAAGAGCTGAGAGCCCTTTACTATCCTAGGCATGATTTGTAGCTAGAACTGCTGTATGGTAGCAGCAATCCCACCTCACTATACAGCTCAGCCAGTTGAAAGCCCACTGTTAAAATGCTTCAGAATGGGTCTGAGTAAAGACAGTCTGAGAACTGGTCAATTCCTGGATGGGAAATCTCACATACCCTATCTTGAGCTCCACAAAATAAAGTTGGGATATACAGTATATTTGTGTGTGTGTGTGTGTGTGTGTGTGTGTGTGTGTGTGTGGCAAGCACCCTCTTAGGCGATGATAGTCCAGAGAAGAAATTCCTTTTCTAAGACTGTGCTTCAGCAAGTTGCTGTAACACCAAACTTCCAGTGCATTGCCCCAGGACTGCAATAATTCTAGGATTCAAATCCCTGCAGTTTAAAGGAAGAGGTAGGTGCTTACAGATTCAGTCGTTCACACATGGTCATCTCAGCACAAGATCTTGAGGCAAATGATGTGACATCCTTTCTGAAGTTTCATCATAAGAGAAGAGTTGCTTATACCAAAGGCCCACCTACTCCAGCATCCAATGCTCACAGGGGTCCTCTACATGCAACAGGACGCTTCTCACTTGTGAATCTTTGCAACAGACACTGGAGCTAATACTTGGCCATCATGCCTAGTAACCAGATAGCCTTCATGAATTTTTATTAGCCCTATTTTAAAGTCATGCAAGTTAGTGGTCATTACTAAATATTGTGGGTGCAAACTCATCACTTCCAGCTATGCACTGTCTTGAATCTTCCACTATTACTCGACTGCAATTTTTCCCATAGCCCTGAATTATTCTATAAACATTCATCATTCTCCATCCCTCGATTTACTCTCCATTTTTTCTAAAGCAAACAGCTCCAACTGTTGGAACATTTCCTCATAAATATGTACTTCCATACTTTGATCTTTTTGATTGCCATTTCCTGATCCTTCTCTAGTTATATTTCCCATCTCTCATAGGAAGCAATGTTTTCTTAAGAGGATACATGTACATAACCTTAAGAACAGAAAATATGCTTATTGCTTCAATAACTATTTTCTCCTACATACAAATATAATTAATTGACTCAGATTCTATAATCAGGTGACAACTCTTGTCTTTGGTGGACTACAACTCTCATCACCCCTGGCCAATGCCCTTACTAGCTGGGGTTGCTGGAAGTTTGAATCAAGCAACATCTGAAGAGCACCATAGTTGACTCCTGTTTTAAACCCATGATCTTGCAGGGATATATCCGGCTAAGTCCGTCCACCATCCATCATCCAGTTGGTAGCATTGCTGCACAGATGGACACTTTTTTGGTTCCTAAGAACACCATGCTACAGAACGTTATCTTTAATCCTCACCTTCACCAGCTGTGACCAGGGCCAGGATTAAAAGGTCTGTGTGCAAAGTGCCTTCTGGTTCCTTTTATCCAATTGTGCTTCTGCTCTGAGCTGTACCAGGCCTACTGAGTCTAACCACCATTTGTCTGTCCTGCGGTTCTCCCAATACAGCATTGCTCTGAGACATTGTGGAAAGCTAGGGAGATCCTGCCACTGCATACCCTAGCTTTATTTCCCACAAGGCCCATTAGTGTTCCTGTGTCAGTTGGGTGTTAAAAGCAAGAAGGCTTTTTTTAATGGGAGGGGGGCAGCTAGAATGTGGCAAGAGGCACTGCAAAGATGCACTGCAAGGATGTTGACTCCCAACATTATTTCTGACAGGATGTACATTTGTCAGCAAATGTTTTCCACGTCTGGATTTTCAAAAGTTTAACTGCAGCTTGCACAAATGACATTGCAGAAGTGCAGCAGTCTAATCCACCAGCAATTCCTAGGTCATAATTTGCTTGATTTCAGTTAAAATGTCAGCTGTGTGCAATACAGGAATTAGCGACTTTCCTGTAGTTCACAATGCATTGCCTTGGCAGTGACTCAAATGGACTATTTCCCATCCTGGCTCTATAGAATAATTTATTCACTCTGGATTTGCACAAGAATACCAGTTTGAAAATGCCCAGAATAGTGGGAGACAGACCTTGTTCATATCTGCACCTTAAAAACACCAGTGGATTCTGTTAAAACAGTGCATATGTTTATTATTAATCTACTCTGTACTGGGTTTTTACCACCATGGTTGCTGTATACAGATGTTTGATGGGGTGGGGTGGGGAACAGCAGAGGAAATAAAAACACGGATTTTCCTTTACAAGTTTTGAATGTCACATAATCACATTAACCATTTTGCTAGATACAAGCATAGTTTTCATTCACACACAGCTAAATACAGTGGGGGTTTTTTTTGTCACATTTCATTACAGTGCATATAACAGAAAGCTAGGGAAAGTGTACAGTATAATTTTAATCTGGAGGTACTGAGAGATTTTTATTTTTTTTAATCCAGCATGCAGACTGAGATTGTGAGTTTACCAACAGGCTTGTTTTTATTTTGTCTGTCTTTGCCAGAGAGTGAAAATGAAAGAAAATGCCTTTTTAAAAAGTATTAGCCTCCAGTGTATCTTTCAGTAGTCAAAATGCTAAAACAAGTCAAGAAAAAGATGAGGTTTTTCATTTTACAAAGTCAAACCCCACTTCTATTTGTACAGGAGGAAGTCCCCCTCCCCAGATGATCATTTATATAAGTTGCCTAAAAATATAAGGCATTAGAAAGAGATTACATCATGAGTTTCGATCAGTATTATTGTACGTTTAAAGGTCTTAAATCAAATTTCCTATACATTTTACTTTCTTTTGTAACTCTAATGCAGTATACATTATAAATCAAAGAGTCCAAACATGACCAAACTTTATTCCCTCTATGTGTTTAAAATGTATTTATTGAGGCAGGCAGCAGTTGAACTATATCTAATATGGTTAAAAACAGCAACTGCACTGGGGGGAAATGAAATTTGCCAGTATGCTAGTCTATGGATCCTGACGTAAAACGATGCTGAAATTCTTCATGCTAGTTGCTTTCTTTTGGATTCAACTGTATTTTTGCAGCTAAGAGGGCAGTCCAAAAAAAATTAGAGCCAAAAATCAGCATATAAATGTTATATAAATAGAGAATTGTAGCAAATGTTGGTCCTACTCAGAGCAGGTCCCTTAAGTTACATGGGTCCATTGTGAGTAATATTGGTTATTATGCAAAATGTTTAATTCTGAATTCATTTTTAAAGCCAACTTGAAACATACCTGAATCTGGGGTAAAAATCAATGCTTGGCAAATTAATGACAATGCAGAAATAAATCTATAGCTTTTCCTGGGGTATTTATTTGCTGTTAAAAATGTTTTCTCACTACACTAGAATGACTTTGGATAAAAAAAGAGTAAGATTAATTAGAAGATTAATTGATGAGTAAGATTTTTTATCATGACCCTTACAGAGAAAAAAATGTCTTAAAAGGTTTGAAGCCATGAAGGGAAATAGTATTTGAGTGCTTTTTGAGGGTTGGGTAGAACTGAAATGTATCCAATGCTGATTTGCTTGTGAAACCTAAATTTTAATACATTAAGGTTGCAGTTCTAAACACACCAAGGAGAGAGTCCCAAAGAATGCAATTGGCCTTGCTTCTTAGTAGCCACACTTAGGTTTGTACCATCAGTACTTGAAGGAGAGAGGTCATTCTTGGCATACAGAAGCCCTTATGCCCTTACTGTCTCTGGTTAAAGGGATTTTAGGAGAGCCCCCTTTCTGCAACTTCAGAAAGCTGGTACCAATCCAAATAAACATGTTGTCATCATAATGGATTCAATAAAGGTAAAGGTAAAGGTACGGGCCAGTCTTGACAGACTCTAGGGTTGTGCGCCCATCTCACTCAAGAGGCCGGGGGCCAGCGCTGTCCGGAGACAGTGGATTCAATGGAATGACCCAAATCCAGTGAAAGTTAAATCCAGTGAAAGTTAAATGTGCTGCTCTGAACTCAATAGGACGATAAGTTTCTGAAGAGGCTCTCCTGTGAGCCTCAGCAAAGTGAGTAGGAGCTTTTAAAAAATAATAAGGGGAAAAGACACACTCCCAGAAAACAAGCTTATATCCCAGCCAGATAAGGACTCCGGGAGTCGCCGGACAGCATTTTAAACATCCTCCCTTCCTTTGAGGCTCTTCTAAAGCCCCTTTGAAATCTTGCTGAAGCCATCCAAAACTCATTGAGGTTATCTAAAACTATTTGAGGCTAATTACAGCGCTCCGAGTTTCCTTCTCAATCTACAGATATCCCATTCTATCGCCAAAACTTTAACATCATCACCCTTCAAGAGACATGGGGGGCAGAAACTCCAGTTCTGGAAGGTTTTTATGCTTATGCAATTAGGGCTATCCTGGGCAGAGGCCCAGGGAGGCTAAAGGGGGGGCTTTGCACCTTGATTTCTCAATGTCTAAATGCCATCTGTAAAGAGCTGCCCTCCCTAGACCAACGAGCAATGGCCTTACTTATATCATGGGGAAGATCTAAAGTGTTATTTATAAATGTTTATATTCCTCCAACTAGCTTAAATAATGACATCGATAGCAAGTGGAAAAGATTAGAAACCTTGGTTAAGTTGCTGATTTTGGATTATCCAGGGGCAAGGGTCCTGCCGGTGGGTGATCTAAATGCAAGGCTAGGGCCAGATGACTCCAGTTTAGCAACTAAATACAGGTGCAAAATCGGGCTTCCTGAGACGTCTAGCCCAGAAGCCCACCAGACCCCCTAAGGACCAATTGTCAAACTACGCTGGCGCCTGCCTTTTCAAATTTTCGAGGACAAGTGCCGTTGTGACTTATTTATGCCTTGTTAATTTATACTGGTCCTTGAGTATAATGGCTAACTTTCTTTGGATTTGAGCCAATATATTTGCATTAAGTATGTTGTGTAGAATTTACATAAGAATGTAAGGAGAGCCCTGTTGGATCAGGCCAAAGGCCCAATCTAGTCATTGATTGTCTTATCCTCCATTGATAGTCTTCTCCCCTTTAGAAGCCATCCAAAGAGTGGCCGCTACAATGTCTTGTGAGAACGAATTCCATAGTTTTAACTATGTGCCGGGTTGAAGATGTACTATCTTTTCCCTTTCCTGATTCTTCCAAGATTTTAACAGCTAGCATATGAATTAGTTCTGTGCAGCATATTTATGAAGTTAAAAAGGATAAATTATTTTGCTGTATTAAAAAAAAATCACAAAGATAAAGTCAAGGTAAGTGATAAAAGTTGCAAGGAGCTGCACACTTAAGATGCTAGGCATGGGTTTTTTTAGAATTGAAAATAGGAACCACCAAGACTTTGGTTAAAGAAGAAGAAACAGCAACAGCATCTTATTTGGGTTATAAATAGTATGAAAGACCACAATATTATCATACAAAAAAGGGAAACTTGTGTTCTAAGATGAAAAGTTTGAAAATGAACCTGCCTGGAATGAAATAAACATGTCAATTTAGCAATTTAAAATAAAATATATATTCAATTCAATTCAGTTATAGTAGGACAGAAAATGGGAAGTTTTAAATTAGACTTGGTTACAATGTTTATGATATAACTTCAGTATTAACGGATACTGGGTTTTTCTAGAGGGCTGCAACATAAGTCAATTGCTTAGATTAATTGATTATAAAAGCTTTTTGATCAACTAAAAAGGAGCCCCTAATTAATTGGGTAGTCATTTAATCTTACAATAATTTCTAATGCAAGCTCTTCTATAGATGGAAAGTGCCATTTCAGAAGAACCATGATCCCTGCTGTCCATTCTCTAAAACTGCTGTGCATTGTATCTAAAACAAGGATATGGACATCTTTGGGCTTCCAGATGTTGTTGGACCACAACTCCCATCATCCCTGACCAACATATGGAGGGCCACAGGTTCCTTATCCCTGCTCTAGTCTAAAGCATTTATGGCATATTCACTGAGCTCAGTTTCTCCCATTCACTATCAGGGTCAGTTCTAAGTTTAGATCATCATCCGTGATCATTGGCCATGCTGGCTGATCTAATAAAATTTGGGGTCCAACAGCATGTGGAGAGCCACAGGTTACCCCACTCCGAACTAAAAAGAATGTATGCCTTTTTCTTTAGAAAACTTTAGAAATTTGTAATTGAAACAGCACAGAGTTCTGTGACACTTTAAAAAGTGACATTCTTTCATTCATTCTTTAAGGTGTCACAAGATACACTGCTGTTTTTGCAGTAACAGCATTTAAGCAAGGCATCTCTAGAAATCCATGCAATAAAAATTCAACCCTAATGTCAAGCCCAGAAAAATATAATAATTTTCCTTTGATTTTGTCTGTGGCTCCCTTCCCTCACTGATTGCATTCTTGCTTTGTAATATCTATGGGTTGGGCAAAACATTTCTCCTTAACTCCAATGAAAGTGGAAGTTAGGATGGACTAGATTAATTGGGGATTGTTTTTAGCTATTTTTTTGACTCAAGATGAAATGCTGTTCATATCCCATTGCTGTTGCAAGTCTGCAAAAGCCTGGCTGGCAGTGAATGTCATGTGACTATTTGTGTAATTATTATCATCACATGACGAGAAGCAAAATATTATATGGGCCAATGTATATAAAAGTAGATGAGGGCTAGTTTGAAAAACGTCACCCCTCCAAAAACCTCTGTGTGTGTGTGTGTGTTTGCGCGCGCGCGCGCACACACACACACACACACACACTTGATGGGGAGGGCTTTTTCAAACTGCCCCTCGTCCACTTTTTCTCCGTCTCAAGGTGGATATCAGTGGTGTTTATTACAAAGCTAGTTACCCAATTAATTATTGAAAATAAAGACATCGGTATTAGCATTACCCCTAATATGACCTTTGTTGTGCCAAACTTAAAATTCTGTTTCCAGTTCAAACTCACCTGCATCTTTACAAAGTAATGATGTGGGCGGTTCTCTTAAAAGGTTCTTCTGTAAGTATAAAGTGTGGAAACGCATGTGAAGGTATAGATTAATTTCATTCAAAATAATTATACCACATTCTTCCCCAACCTGGTACTCTCCGGATGTTCTCTCTCTCTCTCTCTCTCTCTCTCTCTCTCTCTCTCTCTCTCCTCCCCCTTCCTGCTTCCAGGCTTGTTCCATCTTAATATCTATCTAGACCATTACACACACTAAGCTTCCTTTCTTTGCACATATGTATATCACTGAGTATCCTGCCAACACATTAGTTTCTTCCTAGGTATTCAGGGTGGCTATTATTGCTTACCTTAATTCATTTGGACTGCTTGCTTTCTTAATTCAGAACTCAACAAGTTTACCCTGAAACAAAGGCCCACTTGAAGCTTTGTTGGCCAGCATTTTATCCAGTTCTACTTTCAAAGTAAAAGCGTTCCTTCTTGCGCTCCTGACCGCTTTCCTGTGGGTTTCCCAACCACACACCCTCTTCCTTAGTTCTCTCTCTCCTGCTGTTCAGCTCCACCTTCAGATAGTCCTTTTGAACTTGTTTTCCAAAAAAATTCACCCCACAAAACAAAACGAAGAACACCCCCACTTCCCGCTCTTTGGGAAAAGTCTGTGCTCCCCATTTTGATGAGTCCTGCTTCCCTCCCCAGCCTTATTTTCAAGAAGTCTGTATTTTAAGAGACCCAAAATTGGCCACTGCAGCTTGCTACTGGTGGGAAGGCTGCATCCCTCTCTGAATTAGGATAAAATAATTTCCCATTTAAGAAATACTGTATGACTGCATATGGCTGAGAATTTCACCATTGCTGATAACAGATTTTACAGCAAATTCAGGAGTGGGGAGCATTTCCAGTTCAATAACTGAAGAAGTAGCACAAACGTTTGGTCTCTCAAATTACTGGAATTGGAACCACCAAATCTGGCTTGATCAGGAAAACACCAGTCTGTGTTCTATTCATTGCACCACATTTTAACAGTTCTATTCATTGCACTGCATTTTAACAAGAGTGATCTAACACTTCCCCCTTTCCTTTTAAAGAGAGTTGGATTATACTGCAGCAATATTGTAGGCATGAAAGCCTTCGCCCCTTCTGCAAAATATGCTTTCCTCTTTGTGTTAACCATCAAGTTCTCATAAAAAGAATGGCAACCATGTTATGTTTTAATCTTCCTAAAAATATATAATAATAAGCCAAGATTTCTGTATCTCCTCCTCCTCTGAATATGTTTCATATTAATAGGCTTCAACACAAAGCACTGAATGACAGATTTATTTAAAACAGGGTTTGTAAAATTCCCTGATATTTACTACCCCTATCGGATCTTTTCTGCTCTTAACGTTACCCCATCTCCTACAATATAAGCATGCATCTGGGTTCATTCCTACATAACAGGGGGTTACAGCCCTTCACGATTCTATTCTTCAGAGGTTCAAAGCACCAGGCATTGGTACTTGCCATACTACTGTCACATTCTCTTCTGTCACACGACAAGTTTGTATAGCAGGGTATGTTTTGGTTAGTAAAGTTCAGCAATAATCTCTCCTTGCTTTCGTTAAGCAATCAGCACAGACATCTCCTGTCTGATTTCACCACCTCTTCTGAGGAGTGGACTACGTTTGGGACAAACCCACTCTTCACCCCTTCCCAGCCCTCCTGGATAGTAATTTCACCTCTCTTAACAAGCTCATATATGTCTCGAGTCAGGTCGGTGAAAGCTTTCTCCACATTAATGGCATCCCGGGCGGAGGTTTCAATGTACTTCATGCCATAAGCAAGGGCCAGTTTTTCAGCCTCGTGCCGGGTGACTTGCCGCTGAGTGTCTAGGTCGCATTTGTGGCCCACCAAAATGAACACGATCTGGTAAGGCTGGACGTGCGCTTTGGTCTCCTCTAGCCACTCGTGAACATTCTGGAAGGACCTGCGGTTTGTAATGTCAAAGAGGAGCAGACCGCCAACTGAGTTCCTGTAGTAGGCCTTGGTAATTGATCTGGAAGAGAGCAGCAGCCCAAGGAAGGAAATGAGAATCATTTTCAAGAGGAAAACGCTGGTGGCAATGGCTGGTTTCGTGCATCTGAAATAGCCAGTTAGGTGCAAATCCACCCAGAACACAGCCCTTTTGTGCTACACAGCAAAATAAAGGGGGTTTGTACCAGACAACACAAAGATTCTCTGCCCCACCATCTTTTTCTCTTACACAGTCTGGAAAGTTGTTTGTCTGTGCATTATGAGTCTGTACACCTCTTAAGATATTATGTCCAAAAGTTGCATGGTGGTTGCTAAGACCAAGGAGCAGGTTTTCTATGTTTGAATACAATATAGAATCAAGAAGACTTACTGAACCTTTCAGAACTGTACTGATTAAAAAAAATAATAATTCAAGAGCAACACAGGGTTTGCGGTGGCTAGTACTTTTATCTTTCAATGGACAGTCTAGAAATTGATTCTAGAAAGTGGCTGGATTCCACTCCAATGTCACTGTTGCCACAAGACATTGGAAAATGCGTCTGTTTCATTCCCTCCATAACCACTTTTTTTGCTTTACTTTTCATCTGTCCCAAGCCTGCTCTGCACAGGCCACATCTACTATTTTGCAAAGTAAAAAATATCCCAGATTTTCCTAAGTAGCAGTTTCCTCATTTATAAAATCTCAGCTGAACAGGTGATGAGAAAGAGGACCAGTAATCGCTGATCAATTTCAAACCAGCAACACCCCAAATAAGGTGTACAATTGGGGGGGGTATACCCTCACTACAGAAATTGGACCATTTGCTTGGGTAACATGTGGGCTGTAACATACAATGTATGTATTGGGCTGGAGGAAAGAGAAGGAATGGATGTATGGATGCAATTTATATGTGTTTGCAGAATCACACGGTAACTCTGTCTGGGCCATACCGCTCCAAGTTGCAGGTATGAAGCTGTACATCTTAATGCTGCTCTGTTGTTGTTGTTGTTGTTGTTTTATTATTAATTGAATTTCTATACCTCCCTTCATCCAAGGTTCACAGGGTGGTTTACACAAATATTCACACCATAGTAACAAACAATAAGCCCCCTGTTGTGGTTTAAAAGGCTACAGATTGTTTAACTAGTGAAAGGTCTAATTACTCAATGCCCACCCCATATACCGTAATATTTCCCTTTTCCCTGATATACTAGATTCCTACATGTGAGGGAACTTCTTGCTTTTATTTACTTGTGTTGGGGGTGCAATATTTTTAGCTACATTTACATCCACCCACCCTCCAAGGAGCAGAAGAAAATGAAAACGAATCTTGCCCTTTGCTTTATCCTCATTAACAACCTTGTGAGGTAAGTTAGGCTAGGAGACTGTGACAGACTCAAGGTGACCCAGGGAGTGGAGATGTGAAGCCTGGTGCTCCAAAGCCTAAGCCCACTACCTCATGTTGGCCCCACGTTCAAACATGCCAACCCCCACATGCAATCTGAAATGGTGCAGCCCAGCAAAAATGTAGGGACATAAGAAGCTGCTGCCTTATATCACAGCTGACCACCGGTCCACCTGCCTCAGTATAGTTCACACTGAGTGGCAGTGCCTCTTCAAGGTTTCAAGCAAGAGTCTTTCTCCAGCCCTACCTAGACATTGAACCGGGGACCTTCTGCATGAGATGCAGATAGCTTTTTCACTAGATTCCGCCATAGGCCTAAACAGGACAACAAAGTCTCAGTGTTTCTCCCAGCAGGTTCTGCTTCCACTAAACTGATGGGCCAAGAGTCTGCTAGTTCAAGTCATCCTCAAAATAAATGGAGAGACTAGAGTCACTTGGAGGTATTTGTAAACAAAACTCTTGACAATGCATACCACTCCACTCCACCCCCCTCACTGCATGTGGTATACAGAGGTTGGCTAGGTTTTATGAATTGGCAAGTGAATGGTGTATATAGAACACTCAATAGACTCCTAGGTTCCACACATCTCTGTGAACCTAAGGAGATGTCCAAAGGTGCCCTTTTGCATGCAGAAATTGTATTCTGGTCAAGGAAGCATTGCTTTTCATGAGCCTTCCATAACCTAGAGCTCTCTGGATGTTACTGCACTTCAGCTCCCAATAGCCCCAGCTATCATGGCCAATGGTGAGTGATGATGGGAGCTGTAGTCCCAACAGTGCTTGAAGGGCACCGGGGGTGGGGGGGTGGAGCAGAAAGCTCCTTATGTTCTTATTTTTTCATTTAGTACACAAATAGTTTGTGTAACCTGCTGCTGAATGATGGCTTTAAGCAAGGCAATGGTTTTCAACCAGTGTGCCGTGGGGTGCCTTGAATGATGGTCAGGGATGCCCCAGGCAAAACTGGCCTCAGACCCTCTTTCCTTCCCTCTGATGCCTAACTAACTACCAGTCAGTTGCTGATCTCCCTTTCCTAGGCAAAGTTCTGGAGCGAGTGATCACAGACCAGATCCAGAAGCTTTTGGAAGAAGCTGATTTTCTGGATCCATTTCAATCAGGGTTTAGGCCTGGTTTTGGCACAGAAACTGCTTTGGTCACCCTGTATGATGACCTCTGTTGAGAGAGAGAGAAGGGAAACATGTCTCTTCTTGATTTCTCAGTGGCTTTTGATACCATTGACCATGGTATCCTTCTGGAGTGACTATCTGAACTAGGGGTGGGTGGCACCGCTTTGTGGTGGTTCCAGTCCTACTTGGATGGTCGTTCCCAGAGGGTGTTGCTTGGGGGATGCTTTTCAACCCAGTGGAACCATCGATGTGGGGTTCCGCAGGGCTCAATCCTACCCCCAACATTGTTTAACATCTATATGAAACTGCTGGGTGGGGTTATCTGGAGGTTCGGAGTACGTTGTCAGCAGTATGCTGACAACACTCAGCTCTATTTCTTCTTTACATATGCAGGTGAGGCAGAAGAAGTGCTGGACCAGTGTCTTGCCTCGGTAATGGACTGGATGAGATCCAACAAACTGAAGCTCAATCCAGATAAGACTGAGGCACTGTTAGTGGGTGGTTCCCTAGACTAGATGGCTGGGAGGTTGCCTGCTCTTGATGGGGTTACACTTCCTTGATGGGGTTACACAGGCTTGTAGCTTGGGGGTACTCCTGGATCCCTTGCTGTCGCTCAAGGCTCAAGTGGCCTCAGTGGCCCGGAGTGCCTTCCATCAGCTTCAGCTGGTGGCTCAGCTACACCCCTATCTGGACAGGTATGGCCTAACTACTGTTGTCTATGCTCTGGTAACCTCAGGGTTAGATTATTGCAATGTGTTATATGTAGGGCTGCCTCTGAAGATAGTTTGGAAACTTCAGCTAGTGCAGAATTCAGCAGCCAGGTTGCTCACCGGGGCAAAACGGTTTGAACATATTACGCTGATTCTGGTCCAACTGCACTGGCTACCAATTAGTTTCATGGGCCCAATTAAAAGTGCTGGTTTTCACCTATAAAGCCTTAAATGACTTGGGACCGCAATACCTCTAGACCTGCCTCTTTTCACATGAACCTACCTGGACCCTGAGATCATCTTCTGAGGCCCTCCTTTGTGTGCCCCCACCTCGAGAGGTCCAGAGGGTGGCAGCATGAGCAGAGGCCTTTTCTGCAGTGGCTTCCCATCTGTGGAATGCTCTCCCCTGGGAAGTTCACCTTCATTATACACCTTTAGGTGCCAGGCAAAAACATTCCTTTTTAACCAGGCCTTTGGTTGATCTGATTGACATCCTATGCCCTTTTAAAATGTGGCTCTTTTTTTTGGGGGGGGGTGTTATTGGGTTGTTGGTTTTATTTTGATTATATATATTATGCATTTTATGTTGATCTTGTTCTGTTAACCACCCTGAGACCTCTGGGTATAGGGCGGTATATAAATTCTAATAATAATAATATATATAATATAATTATTATTATTATTATTATTATTATTATTATTATACCCTCTCGTGTCTCTGCCTCCCCAGGGCTTGCACAGCTGTTTGTTGCAGCAGCCCTGGCTACAAGCTCCCCAGGTGAATGGTGCCTCTGGGGCTGGCCAGGGGGTGCTGGTTGCCAGGAGCTGAGGTGGCCTCAGAGTAAGCAAGCAAGTGGGTGAGGGAGCCCAGCCAGCCAGTCCACCAACCCTTGCTGTTGGGAATGGACAGGCATGTCCCAGGCCCCTGTGGGGCAGTGTGAGGAGCCACCTCTCTTTGGAACAGGGAGGGGCAGCAGAAGCTTCCCGGGGGACTCCCAAGGAGATGGGAGAGGAGAGGAGGCTGAGGGGACACTCTATAATGGAGGGTGTTCCAAAAAGCATGAGAAGCTGCCAGCTCTGCAGGCAAGGGGTGACATTACTGGGCTCCTGAGCCCCACAGGGGTGCCGCAGAAAGAATGTCGTTGGTCAAGGGAGCCGTGCACCCAAAAAGGTTGAAAACCTCTGCATTAAGGGGGTTAGATAAATTAAGGATAGGCCTTTGATATGATCCAGACTAAGTACACCAGAGAGCTGTGCACTGCAAGTGTAAACCATGAGATTTAAATCAAATAATAATGGGACAGCCCAAGACTAGAAATCAGGGTCCAAGAGGAAGGTGACTCAAGAGAGCATCTGTTAAGACCAGCAGCACAGCTGAAATGGTCACAGCATGTCATGTGATTTCTGGGGGAGTAGGGGAACAACATTTTTATTCTTTATTCTTTATGTTTTTCAGCATTCAGTTCAATTGCATTCCTTTTCTGCTTTTCCATTTCCCCCCTCATTTATTTCCATGGGAGACCCAGTTGGTCTTCTGCTGCTTCTAACCTCTGCGTTTTTCATCCTAATGTCATGCAATTTTCAGGCAATCTGTCACCTCTTCACCTCACCCACCCTAAGCATCAGACTTGCTAATTTTCAGACAGATTGGACAGGTTATCTATTTTAGAGATTTAAAAAAATTAATATATCTGTCAGTTTCCCCGCTCTCTGTCCCCATTCTTCTCTATAACCTTTTTCTGACCTGTACTATTTCCCCCCAGGCTGTTTTCTATATTTCATCCCAACCGGGGGGGGGGGGGTCAACTTGAATAAAATATGGGGGGCAGGTAAGTGCCACCCCACATAATTGATCACATGACAGCGCACCCCCCCCCATTTGAACGGCAATACCCATCATCTTTGGGAAGTGCCAGCACCCTTAAATATTTCATTGGGGGTGTGTGTGAAGGGCCCTTGGCCCCTAGGAGTTGGCTCCTATGATCCCAACAGAAATGAATGACGAATGAACCAAACAAAATAAATAAAAATATATTTCTGAACTCATTTTCTTGAATTTCCATCTATTTCCATAACTAAAGTGAATTGGAAGAATGGAACTTGTTTTTTCATTAAAAAAAAATATGAATTCAATCCTTGGTGATTCTAAATGGAAACAGTCTAACCAAGCATCCTGTAGCAGAATCGCTGGTGAAACAAAACCTTTCTTTCTCATGTAGCAACTGGAGATTGGCTTCATCCTTGTCCAAATGTAGCTCATGTGTAGAGGGCAAGCAAAATCCCTAAATTCCTCCTCTAGGCCATGCCAGAAATGGAGGGAAGCATGCAAGCCTGCGAGAGGCTTGTTCCCAGCATAATAAATAGCTTATCACAATGTCTGAATGCAGCAGCGTTACAAAGTCACAAGATATATTAAGCTGAAGGTTTATTAGTTTTGTGGGCACTAAAAACCTGACACTGGAGGCCAATGTGCTGTTCAAATCCCCACACAGCCATGAAATTCATTGCGTAACTTTGGGCTAATCATTCTCTCAGGCTAGCCTACCTTGTTGGGTTGTTGGGTGGATAAAATGGATGAGCGGACAGAACTGGCTTAGAACTCCTTGGAGGAAATGTGGGATACAAATGTAATAAAGAATTACTGAACTTTTCTGTGTATAAGACTAGGGTTTTTTTATACTAAAAAACCAATGTTAAAAAGGGGGGGGAGTCCTAGACACAAGGGCAATCTCCCCCCATTTTCTTAATTTTGTGTCCCCAAAAATAGGGGGCATCTTATACACGGGGGCGTGTTATACACGGAAAAATACAGTAGCTTGCTTTCACCTAAGAGAATGGAGACACTACGTATACAGAAGCAATTATACATCCACACCCAGGTTTATTGGGGAGGGGGCGTGGAAAAATGAGATGGTGCACAGTTTCCTTCCTTCCTTTATGTAGGGTCAGAAATGGGTGGAGAAGTGCTATTTTAGTGAGAGAGGGTTGCTTTGTCCCTCATAAACACATTTTTCAATCATGGGGCAGGAAAAAGGACAGGAGGGCATCTGCTGACTGGGCAACATTTAGTCTGCAAATCACATGTTGCTCCCTCAAGCCAGTTTGGTGTTTGGCTGCCTGCTCTTGACATAGCTCTGAAATTCAGCATCCAGGAACATAGCTTAACATTTTATAGTTCTTGTGGTTAGTTATGGAGAAAGATTTGGAAATGTGTTGGCCAAATAGTTTAGCAAGGGTGTTGTGGGGAGGAAAGCGACCACTATCCACAAAGTCCTCATGGTGACACAATTTCAGAAGTCGTTATATCCTCAAGGCCTTGTTCAATGAGTAGCTCATGTATGTGCATATCAGGTCGGGAAACCTTTGGCCCTCCAGAACTTGCTGAACGACAAGTCCCATCACCCCCATCCACTGGCTGTATAGTTCAGTGACAGCTGGAAAGCCAAATGTTCCTCACACCTGGTGTCTATTAAGAATGGACCTAGATGTTTTTACAGGCATGTGGTACAGTACTCTCAAGGGAGGGGGCTGTACCACTTGGGAAGATACGGAGAAGGAAATCTTCTGTTTGAAGGCACCACTGCATCAAAGCTCCTTGACGCATGTGGAAAGCCTGCATATGAGATCCCCAGTGGCCTGGTTTTCTTCTCTCTTTACATTAGGAGACCCTTACTTGGGCAGCCAGACCCTGAGAAATTGTTAAGGCCAGAGTCTCTTTCTTCCTGTCGAAGATGGTTGCTTGTGGCCTACAAATCTGCACTGTGGGAAAGTTTTCTTGAATAAATCTAGTACAAAATCTCTGCAGTATCAGCCCAGACATGGAGGATGGAGAGGGAAGGGAAGGGCTGGAGCTCAGCAGCAGAGCTACCAGAAGACCCTAGGCTCTGCAAGTAGGGCTGGGGAGACCCCTGCCTGAAACCTTGGAGAATCACTGCCAGTCAGTGTGGACAACATGGAGCCAAATGGACCAATATTCTGGCTCGGTAGAAGGCTGCTGCTTATGTTTCTTTGAGAGGAGGGGCGCTCCTCAGCAGCCTTTGTTGTGCTTCTGGCTCCCTTCAGGATTCAATGAACAGCTGTTAGGAGGATAGGGGTGAGGGAGGGGAGGAAGCTGGGTGTTGTTGTGTGACCTGCTGTGAGATCCCACTTGGAACCCGGACCCCACCCACCCCAAGGCCCCCCACCCGCAGCAAGGTGTCTCTTCTTCCCTCCTACTCTGGCTCCCCCATCTTCAACAACAAAGCAAAATCTAACCGCCACCCAGCTGTCCGGGTCTTCCACCATCCTTAACAATGAAGGCTGTTCTGCAGAAGAGCAAAGATGTTTATGATGGTGGCGGCGGGTAAAAGGGACAGAACTCGGGGCGCAGTTGCAGCCTCCGCCGCGCCGACCTGCCACTCGCCCTCCATCCGCACACGACATCCCCCCCCCCGCCCCCAAGCCCCATCCTCAAAAGTGGCTCCTCCTCACCTGAATCTCTCCTGTCCGGCGGTGTCCCAGATCTGCAGCTTGATCCTTTTGCCTGGTTCGATCTCCACCAAGCGGGAGAAGAAATCCACACCCACGGTGGGGTCGGAGACTTGGGCGAAGCGCCCTTCGGTGAAGCGGCGGATGAGGCAGGATTTGCCCACGGTGGAGTCCCCGATGACGATCAGGCGGAACTGGTAGAGCCAAATGGCCTCCATGCTCCACCTTCCCCAGGCGGGGTAGCTCCGGAGCCGGCGCTTGGTGCTGGTGGTGTCGGTACCGCCGCCGCTGCGTCTTCGCCCCCGGAGAGACCAACCACGCGGGTGCCGGAGGCGCAGCGTCTTCCGTCGAGGCGCACAAGCCTGGCGCAGGGAAGCAGGAGCGAGCCTAATGCAAGCCTTTCATACCCGACCCAGGAGGGTCCCCCGCCACCTCTAGCAACTCGAGGCTGCGCTCCCGGCGGCCCGCAAGGCGGAATGGGGCGCCGCGTTGGAGAGCGAGGACTGGTTGAGGAGCGCGCCGGCGCGCACGCACCGGCCACTGGGCGGCGTTCCTCTTCCGTCCCCTTTTACAGCTTCTTCTCGTCTCCTGGGAGAGCGAGCGAGCAGGGGAGAAAAAGGGGGAAGCGACGCGGTCCTTGTCGCAGGAGGTCTTCTCTGGAGGAAGAGGAAGAGGAAGAGGAAGAGGAAGAGGGGCAGGTCCTACAGAACGTGGCCGCGTGGGAGTAGACTCCTAGGCTGGTGCTACCGGTGTTCTACACACACACACACACACACACACACACACACTTCACAAATGTTCCCGCTGAAAGTGGACGGAAAGGTCAGGGGGTCCGAGACACCTCACCTAAGCGCCTTCCCTCCCCTTCCCTCGAGCCAAAGCAGCACATTTCTTTTTAAAGCAAGACAATAAGAACGCATCCTTTCTGACCGTCAGCCCGTCACACCGCTCAGCCGAAGAGCCGCCCCTCTCATTTTTGCCAAGGAAGGGGTCTTGTCGTTTGCAATGACAGAAAACGCGCGCCCCCCCTCCTCTAATCTTTCTCAAGCCCTTGGCTTCGGTGGTGGTGGGTTGCTGTTCTTGTTTAGTTCTTGTTTTTTTTTTGTTTTTACCCCAAGCCCCCACAAAAGGCTCTCAGCAAGACGACCTCCCGGCTGCTGTCTCAGCGCTCCCCCAGGGATCCGCCAGGCAACCGGTCCTCGGAGAGCTGCAGGAGGAAGGCTCTTAGGAATATTGTCCTCAAACGAGGCTCCATCCTCCACCTAAGGCAGGCCGGATGCTCCAAGCCCGTCCGGGCCTTCTTACGAGGCAGAGGGGAGCGAAGGACCTGGCAAGGCAGTTACCTTGAAGCTTTCCGTCGGAAATATGTCAGGAGGAAGGAGGGATGCTTCTCAAGGACATCTGGTTAGCACCAGGTGGGTTTCGTTTGCCTCCAAGAGAGTAGAGAACATCCACCTTCCTGTTTGTGTTCTGCCCCCCCCCCCGGAAAAAAAGATACCCAGCACTTCAAAGATGGAGGGACAGCGAAGGGGAGAGATGCAGGCGAGATCACAGAACTGATGAAATGGCAGCAGCATCAGCACCAAACAGTCTGACTCATCATTGGCATCAGCAGCTTACTGTACTGCCCAGAAGAGAGGAGCCTGCAGGATATTGTTGGTTTTGCCGTTACCACATTGTTTAGAAGTGAAGCGCCCTTAAAATAACAAAACTCAGACCTCTCCCAACAAAGAATAAGATCTCTATAAAAACAAAAACAACCCCCCGCCACCAATTTGCTAACAGATCAGCTCCGGAGAATCAAGAGTCAAGGAGAGCAAAGCAGAGGTTGAGACTGGCAACTATGCCCGGTGTAGAATTAATAATAACCGAGTGACTAAACCACGCACCGCCCGTTCAAGATAGGAATACTGTAGTATGCAGTTCAATGGCGCTGGGCTGTAAGACACAAACCATTCTGCCGGCCACTTTTATGGCTGATTTTACCTGAGAGGGCTGTGCTGCACTGCGAGATAGGTAAGAATAATACTAAAAAAAAAAAATCATACCAGATACAAATAAAACAACAAAAACCAATGTCCACAACAAATTAGCAAAACGAGCAATAAGCCTTCAACAGCACAGCCTCTGTACCTCCCCACCCCCAATAAATTGGTCCCATTCAATTCACTCCCAAGTCAATGAGCATAGGATTGCAGACTAGAACTTTAATGCAGATTAAACATAGCCATTAAAAATGGCTGGTAAATAAAAATGTAGATTGTAATCCTGTAGGCAAAGGACTGTGTTACCATTTTGTTTGGAAACCTTTATCCAGTATTAAGCAATGCTGAGATAGATGGACCAGTGGTCAGATTCCCTATAAGGCTCCTTATAAGCCATATTTCGACTCATGCTTGAAACATTAGTGTTGGTTTAATTAATTAAATTAAATTAAATTGGTTTTAAAATTAAATTGATTTTACTTTTACTCTTTTTAATACCTGTTTTAAATTTTAATTCTGGTGTTTTTATCTCCTTAGAGATGTTTTATCTGCTTGGAGATTTGCTGCTTGTTTGTTTTTGAAATCAAGCAATATTATATATATCGTCTACCTCCTGGTGCATCTGTAGGCACTGAATGCAGCCTTTGATCTAATGAAACATAGGAACCTGCCTTACACAGAGTCAGACTACTGGCCAATTTAGATCAGGAAGGCTGTGTATTAAATTCCTGGCTGACAGTAAATGCCCAAGATGACACCTGTGTGCAAAGCAAGATCTAAGCCCCTTCAACCCCCTTTGCTTCCTTTTGAAAAGCCTGACTGTTCTTGATTCTAAGCACTGCCCTCCCCCCTTTTTTGTGACACCATAATATCAACAAAAGGGACGCGGGTGGCGCTGTGGGTAAAACCTCAGCGCCTAGGGCTTGCCGATCGCATGGTCAGCGGTTCGAATCCCCGTGGCGGGTGAGCTCCCGTCGTTCGGTCCCAGCTCCTGCCCACCTAGCAGTTCGAAAGCACCCCTAAGTGCAAGTAGATAAATAGGTACCGCTTTATAGCGGGAAGGTAAACGGCGTTTCCGTGTGCTGCGCTGGTGCTGGCTCGCCAGAGCAGCTTCGTCATGCTGGCCACGTGACCTGGAAGTGTCTCCGGACAGCGCTGGCTCCCGGCCTCTTAAGTGAGATGGGTGCACAGCCCCAGAGTCGGACACGACTGGCCCATATGGCTAGGCGTTCCTTTACCTTTACCTTTAATATCAACATATTTTTGCCAAATGCCCCAAAGTGAGCATGTCCTGGTGCTGATGCAGGCTGGGATTTAACTCCCTAGGGATTGCCAGCATTTTTACGGTCACAGACAGAAATGAAAAATAAAATAAAATGCTAATTTTCCCCATCATCACATCTCCATGGCGGAATAATGTTCACATGTTGATTTATACTTCTGTCCACTTAAAGAAGCAGCAGCTGATGCTACAGGGTAATTATAACAGCGGTTTGGCCCAATGAAAGCTGTAAGGAAGAAAGAGGAAACACACCAACCCACCCCACACCCAAAGCTGCTTAGGTCTTCGGTGGCCATTTGGGAACACAAACAAGCATTTCATTTTAAATTCAAGAACCTAGTCCTTAAGAACTATTAGGAATTTGACTTTCTTTAAATCGTAAGCCACTTGTTGTTGTTTCTACGTATGATCCCGAGAACACTTATATGTAAGAAATTATCATTTTAAAACACTACACATTTTAAAACATTTACACAAAGGTAAAAAGTACCCTCTGAACTATATCCAGGATGGTTCATTCAGTGCCATGCCCTGTAAATTTATGTGTCAGCATTTAACCATGATTATAGAATTGATAAGACAGAGTTCAGCAGCTCACTCTTACATGAATTAGAGATCCAAAGATTAAGCGGCAATAGTTAAATCTCATTACATGATCTCATTATGGATTTTGCTATCTAAGGCGCTGGGAGATTTAGCAGTTACCTCTTCTGGGCTGGGGCAGAAGGATTTTTGCAGAATGCGGGAAAAACCAGGATATATTGTTGTTGTTGTTTAGTCGTTTAGTCGTGTCCGACTCTTTGTGACCCCATGGACCAGAGCACGCCAGGCACTCCTGTCTTCCACTGCCTCCCGCAGTTTGGTCAAACTCATGCTGGTAGCTTCGAGAACACTATCCAACCATCTCGTCCTCTGTCGTCCCCTTCTCCTTGTGCCCTCAATCTTTCCCAACATCAGGGTCTTTTCCAGGGAGTCTTCTCATGAGATGGCCAAAGTATTGGAGCCTCAGCTTCATTATCTGTCCTTCCAGTGAGCAGTCAGGGCTGATTTCCTTAAGGTTTGATCTTCTTGCAGTCCATGGGACTCTCAAGAGTCTCCTCCAGCACCATAATTCAAAAGCATCAATTCTTTGGCGATCAGCCTTCTTAATGGTCCAGCTCTCACTTCCATACATCACTACTGGGAAAACCATAGCTTTAAGTATACGGACCTTTGTTGGCAAGGTGATGTCTCTGCTTTTTAGGCTGGATATATTACATTTCTGCATACTTCAATCGATCAATCAGTTGGTCAGTATGTCAAATGTGGATTACATTCAACTAACCATTAAGCAAGGTACAAACTATGAAGCAGGCAGAAATCATGGCCTGAATAGAACTAATCTTTATATTAAAGTTGACAAGCTAAAGAGTCATAGCAGATCTAAAAGATATTACAGCATTTAGATATCTTGCCACCTGGTTGGTCACAAATATCTTAAGCCCCTCAAAGAAGATACTCATAGGGGCTTTAAGGCTTGACTAGGACAACACCTCATAAAGGAATAAATAATGCATTATCTTCCCCTTGATAAGATCTACAGTAAAAGACAGTGTAAGAGATTATTTGAGCTGAGTATTTACAGGCCAACAGGATTTGAGATGAGTATTTACAGGCCAACAATGACCCTGGAAAGTTCTACATACTTGGATGTGGCATTGACTCAAATCCTCAGGGGTGACCCTGTTTTTCCTTCAATTCTCCCCTCTGTCAGGTCCCTCTGCTTAAATAAAATTGCCAATTTCAAAATGAATGCAGATCCAAGAGTACTATCCCCATAGTTGCATTCTCAGCTGCCTGAGTAAGAAGACCTTCCATGTTGTGTAGTGGTTAGGACAGTGGTAACCCACATGGTATGTTGCTGCACTCCAACTCCCATCAGCCAGCATGGTCAGGGATGATGGGATTTGTGGTCTGGTATTCAACCTAGCAGTTCGAAAGCACCCCCGGGTGCAAGTAGATAAATAGGGACCGCTTTCTAGTGGGAAGGTAAACGGCGTTTCCGTGTGCGGCTCTGGCTCGCCAGAGCAGCGATGTTACACTGGCCACGTGACCCGGAAGTGTCTCCGGACAGCGCTGGCCCCTGGCCTCTTGAGTGAGATGGGCGCACAACCCCAGAGTCTGGCAAGACTGGCCCATACGGGCAGGGGTACCTTTATCTTTTTATTCACCTGAAGGACACCATATTGGCTATTCCTGGGTTAGAGTACCATGCCAGGACTGAGCCTTAGAGTCGATTGAGTGAACTTGGGCCACCCATTATCTCTCAGTGGCAAAATGCCCCAGGCCAGCCCTGCCTAGTGGGCAGCCTGGCTTTTAGCAGGGTTTAGCTTTTGACCAGGAACTCTATAATGCAGCAGATCCCAGCAGGGCTTGCTATGTGCCTCACTTGCCAAGGACTATACAGAGGTGTTTTTTTAACTGTGGTATCCAACTAATGATAATCTTTGTACATTCTTGCATAGTATAACTTCCTCTCCCTCTCCTCCTTTTGCCCCCATGCTGTCCCCAGATCTGCTCTGGAGGGCTGTGGGGGAAACCTAGAACAGATTTAGGAAGGCATAGGTTGTGCAGGCAGAGGAAAGAGGGGGCAAGTTCCATTGCACAGTCAAAAGTCCCTGCGTTGGTGGAGCTGGTTCATTGGATCTTGCCCAGAGGCTCCTTATCATGGCTTTGCAGCTGTGTTTGCACCTCCTCCATACCTGATCTCATGTGATATCAGGAGTGGGCAGGTGGTGAATTCCTGCAATATATACACCAATTGTGATGTCTGAGGTGACTTTATTTGGTCAGAACAGCAGCCGCCCCTGGGGAACCCAAGAAAATGGGAGTACATAGGTTTATAAATTACACAGGCTTATATAGAGGCAAAGGGATGTGGGTGGCGCTGTGGGTTAAACCACAGAGCCTAGGACTTGCCGATCAGAAGGTTGGCGGTTCGAATCCCCGCGACAGGGTGAGCTCCCATTGCTTGGTCCCTGCTCCTGCCAACCTAGCAGTTTGAAAGCATGTCGAAGTGCAAGTAGATAAATAGGTACCGCTCTGACGGGAAGGTAAACGGCTTTTCCGTGTGCTGCTCTGGTTCGCCAGAAGCGGCTTAGTCATGCTGGCCACATGACCCGGAAGCTGTACGCCGGCTCCCTTGGCCAATAAAGTGAGATGAGCGCCACAACCCCAGAGTCGGTCACGACTGGACCCAATGGTCAGGGGTCCCTTTACCTTTATATAGAGGCAAAACTTTGGGGCCTGAATTCAGTGTGTGCACAGAATGAAACAGGTTTGGAG